AAAGGCCATTTACGGTGAGGCCTAATGGAGCTCTGATCCACCAAACCCAGCAGAGTCCACATCAACGTCCGAATATTGTTTTTACTTGTTTGCTCTTCTGTTGGAGCCCGTGGCATGTAAATATGGTTTTATACACAACACAAATGTTGAAAATGTGACCTTGTGTGGTGCTTTCACAGATGGAGGGAGATAAACACAGATAACCGAGGGGAAACATTTAATCATCAGCATCGCAAAGACAAACAAACACAGATAGGTTGTGTTTTGGGACTGAAAAACAAACATCGAACAATGGCGTCCTACAGCCCCGTCGCCACTCACGAGGGGACCAACGGGGGCCCGCCCTCCGTGAAATCCGCTGCCTCCCAGGAGTCCATGAAGCTGAAGAAGGAGATCTCCCTCCTGAACGGCGTCTGCCTGATCGTGGGGAACATGATCGGCTCGGGCATCTTCGTCTCGCCCAAGGGCGTCCTCATCCACAGCGCCTCCTACGGCCTCTCGCTGGTGGTGTGGACCATCGGTGGGATCTTCTCCGTGTTCGGGGCGCTGTGCTACGCCGAGCTGGGCACCACCATCACCAAGTCCGGCGCCTCCTACGCCTACATTCTGGAGGCCTTCGGAGGCTTCATGGCCTTCATCCGCATTTGGACGTCCCTGCTGATCATCGAGCCGACCAGCCAGGCAGTGATAGCCATCACCTTCTCCAACTACATGGTGCAGCCCATCTTCCCCACCTGCATCGCCCCATACCTGGCCAACAGGCTCCTGGCTGCTGCTTGTATATGTRAGTACACATCAGTTTCACATGTAAGCACGTGGGCGTCTCAGACTGCAGAAGTGAAAAATGGTGACACATAGGTTGCAGTCAGCAGGTCTTTGTGCTGACTTTAGATGAAAGAGGAACCGAGCCACCCTCAAACCTTGAGTTAGGAATAGTTAGGGGGAAAATCTATTTTACTCAACTCTAAAGCAGTGATTAAGAAATCCTTCTCACATGTGAGAAGTCATAGAAACAAACGAGTTTCCTCATTGGTTGGCAAATTCATCATTAAACTCCTTAAAAGAACCCAAACAAACAAACACCTCTTTAGGCCACAAAAAGCAAAACGGTGAATCAATATGAGTTTATATATGACAAAATCCACAAGCTAACGGCTAGCTCAAAATGCAACAAAACGGTGGTCCAGGCATGGGTCAGCACCACATAAACCAAACCMCAACTGGGCCAATTGTAACACGCCATCTTTAACAGTACCATCATTGGCAGATCTATCCCACACCTGTCCCCTATATGGGATAGGTGGCAGCCGAAGGCGGGGTCCTTGGTGCTCTGACCCCAGCTCACCTAAGTTGGCTTTTGGGATTATATTGCCCTAAAACAAAATCCAATCTTTAAAATCCTGTAAGCTATTTAAGCTAACAGTAATATTTAAACCTTCAGTTCCTCATTAGTTCATTAGTCCAAACAGAATTAATCCATTTTTCCAAACAGAGGTCATTTGAAGAACTATCTACAACAGGTAAGATATTCATTTTACATAACTTTTCCACAGAACCTCACTTTAGAATCTTCAAGATATCCCTTTATTGTTATTTTCCCAGAAAAACAAGATACTGTATGACCTGTCTGTTCTTGTTTGTGATCAGTACCACTCAGCCACCCACCTAGAAGGAATTTCATGTGCGAACACACACTTGAATACAAGCACACACACACACACCTGTTCCATGCACTGATAAGCAGAGCTCAGAGGAGGGTTTGATAGCTGTGAGGTAAAGTCCTCACTGCAGGGAGACTCTGACCTGAGTGGCTAACAGAGCACTGACAGCTCAGCACAAGACTGAACCATAAAAACCTGCTTCCTGTCACTGAGAGGAACACTATCATCTGCTGCTAACCTGGCTCAGTTAGTCCAGAACATCACTTCCTGTCAAGAAAAAAGACAGCTGGATGTTAAAGTAGTAGATGAAGACTTTTTTTACACATAAATTTCTCCTGATTTTTAGATTTTTTTATATAAGTACGTGGAATATTAGACACTATAAACATAGAAATCCATGTTTTCTTTAAAGAAAACAATAATTCCAAATCTTTGTCACATAAACCCTTTAGAAGTTAAGTTTCCTTTAACACGTCTGAATAAATTATATGCAAAACTAACAACTGTCATTGCTTTAGGTCTGAGTGTTTGTATCTGATTAGATTATTTTTGTAATGTGACCATACAATGTTCTCAGCTTTTTGGTTTCTCTGTCAACTCTTTAACAAGGTGCATATGTATATAAGTATATTA